ATGGCTAATTGTAAAAACGTGTGATCCGGGCCGGCCCCTCCCGCGTGGCACGTTTCCTGGGTAATGAATTCAAGCCCGGGAGATGCCAGCACGGAGCAGCGGCCGGAAAGGGGGGCGCCGACCCCTCCCAAACACGCTCCCGGCCACTTAATCTTCCACCCGGGTTAATGCCGCGATTCACGGCCCTGCTCAGACACCGAGCCCGAGGTGCCGCCCGCCCGCCCCCACCGGCGAGTACAGGATCCCTGGGTACAAGTGAGGTGGGCGAGGCCGCGCCGGGCCTCTGCGGTAACTTAATCTCTGTCTCATCTCCGCCGGCTCTGCGAGGACTCGGCCGCTTCGGGGTGAGGGCGAGTCGGCTCAGGCTCCCCTCTCCCTCCCACGCCCCCGGGACATCTGGAGCCCAGGGTGGCACCTGTGGGTGTCTTAGTTCCCACAGATTCCTCGGCGGCCGGGTCCCCCCCGGCCGGCAGCAGTTGTCCCTGCAGTCTGCTGGCCTGGCCCCTATTTGCTTCAAGCTGCACCTGCACCTCCTCACTTCGGGCGTCCAGGACTCGGGGAGCGGCCCCCGGGCACGCTCAGCTCTTATCTGCCTCCCCCTGCCCTGCCTGCCCCGTGGCAGAGGTGACCCCTCCAAGACCACGGAGCAAAGTCCAGAGTGAGATCCCCCCATAAAAACCCGTGCTGGGGGCCGGGGTTTGCACCGGAGGCTGGAGGTTGGGGTGCTGGGGGGTGACAGAGCAGGGCACCCTGCACGAGGCGAGGGTCCAGCAGGCTGCTGGCAGCTTGCTCTGTGGGGCGAGTCGAGAAAGGCCAGCCAAGGGTCATGTACGAGATGTGGGGTGCAGTGCTTGCACCCCCAGAGCTCTTCACCGTGGGTGCCAGCAGGCGGGGGCAGCTGGTGGTCCCTGGACCTGGCCAGGAACGGGGACGGTACACAGCCCCCCGAGAGGGTCCCGCGGGAGGCACTGCGACCGGCAGTGACTTCTGTTGGCCAAACCCGAGCCCAGGCGGAGTCGGCTCCCGGCCTCCCCTGCCCACAGCCTCGGCCTGGGGCTCGGAGCCGGTGCAGGTGGAAGGGGCAGGTCTGGGTCCTAGATGTCCACCCACCAGCCTCTTCAACAGCAGTTCTCGCTCCGCCAGGGTGGGCAGCCACGAAGAGGGGCGCTTAGCCGTCGGCCGTGTGATCGGAAGCCTCGGCCGGACCTCGGGGTTAGGACACGTCACCCCGCTGGAGCCGGGCGCCCGCTGGACAAGGCGCAGCTGTGAGTCACACGGCAAAGGCTCCGAGCAGAGAGCCCTCACCCCCCCGGGCACTCCCACTCCCCGAGTGGGGGCATTTCCCCCAACGCAGGGCCTAACTAAGCAAACCCCAGACGTCCGCTGGGCTGGGGGGACTTGTCAGACCTCGTCCAGAAGCTCCAAAGAGTGACCACAGCCACGGCGTCAATGGGCCGCGCCCGGCTCTGAGCACCGGGCCTCTGCGCGGGTGCGAGGGCGTCCCTGGGTGGCCGTAACAGCTCCACGCTGGCCACAGCGTCAATACCCGGAGCCTTCTCTCCCAGGCTGGAACCGGCACCCCAAGGTCCAAGCGTTGGCAGGGCTGGTCCCTAATGAGACCACGAGGGAGAACCCCCCCCATGGCCCCCAGCTCCTGGTGGCTGCCGGCATCCTCGGCTTGTGGACCCATCACCCACCTCTGCTCCGTCTCCATGTGGTGTCCTCCCTGTCTGCGTGTCTGTGTCCAAATCTCCCCTTTGACAAGGTCACCCGTCCTATGGGATCAGGGACCTACCCTAATGGCCTCATCTCACCAGCTCACCTGCAAGGACCCTATTTCCAAATGAGGTCACGTTCTGAGGTCCTGAGGGTCAGGGCTTCAAAGTAAGAATTTGGGGGGGACACACTTCTGTTTATAACAGACGCTGAAGGTGGCTCCCGGCTCACGAAGGGCCCTGCCCGGCTCGGAGGGCAACCTGTTTGGGATGCCGGCCTCCTAGGAAGGAGCAAACGCCAGGCCAAGCTCCCCTTTGGAAGGTCCGGTGACAAAGCCGGGCCACCCAGAAAGTCGCGGGGCTTTGGCGAAGCTTTGGCGAGGAAGCCTCTGCGCCCGTGTGGATTGAGGTGGGCGCGGGCGGCCAGGGCCCCGCCGTCCGCCTGGAGGAGCCCGGTGCCCCTGCCGTCGGGCCAGCGTGGGATCCGCGGCTCCGAGGCCTCCCAGCCGCAGCGTCTGGACTTTCCATCACCCGAC